GTTGTTGTCAACATATCTGAAATAAGTTATTACTAATTTTTGAATCCATTTTTAAAAACAGTAACCAGATTTTGTTTGGTTAACACAGGTACCAATCAGACCTCCAAGTATCTAAGTGTCCATTAGATGTTCAGCTTTATACATTGTATATGGAGAAAGAAATACATCCTCAGCAATGCTGTAATCAACAACTTACAATTTTTTAAAGCTACTTTAAATACTTCTAGGTTGATAATTGAAACTAAGCAATGGTACTTAATGCTTTATTTGACTTTTGAAATACGTCAACGGGGCATGATTACCCCGCTAATTGCTTGATTAATCCACATTATGGTACAGCTATGACCAAAATCTCTAACCATGTATTGTGTGAGTGATTGCATAGTTATCAACCAAATGGGAAATACCTTATACATTTTATATACATTAAAAGCATCAATTATTATCTTATATTAGAGTATGGCTAAAACTTTAACAGCTAAACATGTTCAAATACAACTTTTACTGAAGTCTGAACAAATGATTGCTAAACGTCTTGAAGACTACTAATGATATCATTCAGTGCATCAAGTCAACAGATGGCACCATTTTAGAAATATTCATTGCAAGCCTCAGAACTTCCGTTTTAAAAACTGACAACATGATACTTTTTAGTTGAGAAGGACAAAAAGAGTGAACATACATACACCAACTGAGTGTTTTGGGCAGTTTATTAGTTTAAAAAATCTATTTAAAGTTTTTATACTTTTATTCTCCTTTTTTTAACTTTTTAAAATAAATAAAAAAAAAATGTTTAGGTGTTATTTAACATGATCGCTAACTTAATATGATTAATTCAGTATTCATCAACAAAGCAAATTAAACCTGTTTTTATTTACTTGAAAATGTTTTGTTTTCCCTGGCGTGGCTGAAACAGCTGTCTTTTTTTCCCGGAGTAATGCATTTATAGTTGAACTTTTACCAACATTAGGATAGCCAACCTAAAAAATAAAGTTTTAAACTTATAAAAACTACATTTATGTAATTTTTAAATAGAAGAAATCACAAAAGGTTAACTTTATTTGTTTGATGACGACGACGATGATGATAATGATGATGATAATGATAATGATGATGATGATAATGATGATGATGATGATGATGATGATGATGATGATGATGATGATGATGATGATGATGATGATGATGACAAGAGGAATGTGTAGAGTTTTTATAAAAACTGTATAGAAATACGACAAATTTGTATAGAAATTCGACGCGGTATAGAAATACTACTTTAATGTATAGAATTCCGACGCATTATGTATAGAAAAGCTACATCGCAAGGTAGAGTTTCTATAAAGAGGTTTTTTTAATAAATTGCCGTTCGCCGTTTATATTGATTTAGTTCAGCCGTTAAAATATTTTTCGCAGAATAATATTAGATATCAGAAAGTAAGAAGATACAATGCATGGTGTTATAAGTATATTTCTTTTTTTGAATAAACTCTTTAATGAAGTTTTCATTTTTAATTAGCTTTCTTTTTTAATAACTGATTTCTATTTTTCAACATCTAAGAGTTGTATTAAAACTCTTTATTACCAATAAATAGCTTGAATATATTTAATACATATATATTGTATATGTGTATAATATATTAGGTACATATGTTTGGTATATAAATATAAATATAAATATATATATATATATATATATATATATATATATATATATATATATATATATATATATATATATATATATATAAACAAATTTATTTTTTAGCTTGCTTTCTTTTTTTTCTTTTTTGTTTTGGGACCAAAACAAACTCGGGCGCCTTAATAATATACCACTTAACCTCTTCTCTATGGAAATGCCAACATCCTAACTACATTAATGATAAAGTCACTCCATGCAGACTATCTTACTTGACACTTTGCAGCACTAACTCGTTGTTCTTCATTTGTTCTTTAAGCTTTAGACCATCGGTGTTCAAGGAAAAAATCTAGACGAATAAAAGTTTTTGGATCGCTCTCTAGAATTTTTGAAAATAGAGATAGCAGATGCTGCTTTCCCGCAGGCTGAAAAACAAAAATCTAATAAGCACTTATTAAATAGTTTTGAAAGTATGGAAGACACCTCCAGAGAGCACTGCAAGGCAGTAGATTAACCTATTTGTAGGCTATATCAGATAGAACGCGACTAGTGGAATCGAGAAATGATATTGATGAAAAATTCTTAGCAAACAATTTAACTTTGTCTTTAGGTGAGATAACAAAATCTGAACCATACTAGAGATGTGGCAATTTCAGATTTTCCTTAGTTATTGATGCTGTTAAAGATTCTCCATAAATCACGAGAGTTTAATTTTTATAATGAAATACGAGATTCCATAACTTAAGAATAGCGGAATTTGGCGTAGAACAAAAACATTTTATAATGGTTTCTTGCAATAGTAAACAGACGTCTATTTTCTAGAGAATACTTTTGCTAATAGATATGGCAGTAATGGTTTTAATTGAAAATTGAAGCAGCACAATGTGTGGCAAACCATGGAGAAGAATAAGGCTTGACTTCGAATCTTCGAGAGAGAATTAAAGATATCATGCCAGTCGAGATCCACGAAGTTATGTAAAAAGCACATTTGTTAGCAGGAAGACAAAAGATTTCTACCCAAGGGCCATCACGAAGAAACCACAGAAAGAGTCCCAATCGTTTAAGGTAGTTGTAAGAGGTACATATTTCATCAGAAGCACCTAAGGACGAATGTGGAGAAACTGAGCACCTAATAGGATCAGAAACAATACATAAGTTGAGTAGAAAAGGTAAATGATTCGAGTTGTCAAGAAAACGTGTTGAAAAGTTGACTATTTGTGTTAGAGATTAAAACAAGCAAAAATTGTAAGCCTTAGCGCCTGCAGAGTCACTGACACTAGAGCCAAACTATTGTGTGTGATTAGCATTATAGTCACTAATAACAACAATATTGACTGATGACAAAAAAAAGAGAGGGCTTGGTCAATTTGATTAGAAATAACATTTAAAAAAAGTGCAGTCTTGAAATGAAGGAGAGCAATATAGAACAAAGGAAAAGGCGATAGAATAAAGTGGTGCTAAACGAAAGTACATAAAAGAATAGTCGGTGATTTCAAACCTAGTTTCCCAACAAATGGGTGAATTTTCTCAAATGTAAATGCCCATGCCAAGTATGTGACTATTGGAATTTTTACAAATTAAAGAAAGATAACCATTAACACTAAGATCACAAGAAGAGAAAGCCTAACTCAAATTAGTCTCACAAAGAGCAATTGGTCTGGTGAACTTTGGAATAGATAAGACTCAACAGAAGAAAACTTCCTTCGAAGACCACAAATATTAGTGAATGATAGGTTTAGAGAACTTGGTGATAACGATGGTTTTTTGTGTTTTATAGTTTTTGGTACTTTAGTCATACCTAAAAGAATCAATATTACCATTACCAAAAAGAGCCAATATCAAAAATACTGATGCATTTTGTCCTAAACAAATGTCTGAAGTGGTTAATAAATATTTTACAAATGCCACACTTCTACTTGCAAAACAAAATTACACTAACCTTGTCACCAACTTATAATTCTTTTAAAATCTAAAACCATCAGATGACGCATTATTGCGTGATTTTAACTTAACGTTAAAAGAATTTGAAACGGCTTTTTCATCTTTTGACAAAAGCTTTTGACACTGTCGATCCTTTTATTTAGTTAGAAATGTTGAAGCATTATGGAGTAATTAATAAGGTCTACTATTGGATTAAAAGTTACCTCTCTAACAAAAAAACAATATGTTCTAAATCAAAAATGTGGAATACTTAAAATCACTAGATACTTCGTCCTCTCTTTCTCTCAGTTTACATAAATGAATTAGTTAATGCATTAGTAAAATTAAACCCAAGTATGTTCGCAGATGACAAAAACCTTTTTTTTTTAACAATAGTATCAAACAACTTAATGCAAGCATGAATTTTGAATTAAGTAAGATAAATGACTGATTTATATCGAGTAAACCCTCATTAAACGTTAAAAAGACAAAGTATACCTTTTTTCATGAAAAAATGCAAGAAGAAAATCTTTTCTTTAAATTACCAGTTCTATTTTCAAAAAGCAAGACTGTATAAAGCTTTTATGAATACATTTTAACAATAATGTATCTTGGCTTCTTTATATTAAATATTTACAATCAAAAGTTAGTAAAACAATTGGTCTGATGTAACGATTCCTTCTATATGTAAATACAGTTTTTCTAAAGTTATTATGCTTTTCTTTAATTCTTTGTTTTATTAATTGTGCTAATATAACATGGGTTAGTACACAACCAACAAAACTTGAAAAAAAAATACTTAGTTTGCAAAAACATGCCTCTAGAATTATTTTCATAAAAAAAAGGGAGAAGCACACTAAACCCTTAATGAGAAATATGAAAGTGAAGGATGGAGACGAAATATATTTTTATCAGCACCTAATTTTCATGTAAAATTATAATAATAATCTAACTCTGGCTAATTTCATTTGTAGATTTGAGAAAAATGTAAGTGAAAAGTATTTCTTAAGAACAAATCAATTAAATTCCTTCAAACTGCTAAGGAAACTAAATAAATATACAAAATATTTAATAGCATATCGTGGACCTAAGTAAAGGAATTCTTTTAAAAAAATTAGTGCAAATATGGTAAAATCATTAAAATCATTTAAGTTTCAAGCAAAAAAACACGTTTTGAATTTTGCGGAATAAAAACGTAACCCAATGGTATATTTATTCAAATGGATTTTACTTATTATTCTTAGTAGTTACTAATGATATATGTCTTTTAATGTAAAATTTTTTAATCTTTCTGTATATGCTTGTTTGAGAAAAAGGTTACTACATCTGTCCAACAACATTTGTGGAATAGTGAAATAACATACGCACATTTTTGTTCAAGATCATCCACTTTTTTTCTTTACTGAATTAACATTTGCCTAACAACATTTGATATTTCATTGACGTCTAATAACATCTTTAGAAAATAAATACACCTGGCTAAAATAATGCATTTTTGAATTTGTTTTTTTCTCGGATGCATAACCCTTGTAACTACATCTGATTAAATCAATGTATTATTGAAAAAGCAAAATTCCGGGATGTAATTACATATATAAACTACATATAGAATTATTATATTATATAAGTGCTGCTACATCGACTGACAAATAGCCTGACTCGCAAAGAAATGCTGCTACATCGACTGAGGGTTTGGTTTAGGCAGGAAGCCTATCAAAAAATTAAATTTGAAAAAAAAAATATTATGCCTTATATAATGCATTTTAATAATTTTTTTTTGGCGGGTGTAGGTATATCCAAAAAAAAACAGATTACAGAGTGTAACTTCATCTAGTTAAAATAACGCATTATTAAAAAATAATTTTTTTTGGATGTAGTTAAATCCGAGAAATCTACAGATGTAGTTTTTTTTTTTTTTTTAAACATGTTTATTTTACAACTACAAATTACTTACAATTGACCAATCACCGATTGGCGAATAAAGATATACAAATATAAATATCGTAAACATAAAGTCCAAAATAAATAAGGGATGAATCTAAAATATTGTTACATTCAACTTTGAAACATGATAAAAATAAATACAAAGTACACAATAGAATAACGTGAACGTAAAAATTACCCAAGAAATAAACCTTCTATATTCTTTCAATTAAAATAAATATATATATAAAAGTATCATAAAAACAAGATTTGTATAAGATTGAAGAAAATAATTAATTGTTTGTAGTTATAGGAAGCTCGCAGAAGACTGCGGTCAGTCTTGCCATCGAGTACCTTCTAGACAGATATATGTATGTGGTACATATATGCCTTAAAATTATTAATGTTACTATCTCCTTTTAGTATTATTTTTATTGTTTTCTTTGAAAAGCTACATTTTTTGTTTTATTAGGGTTGTTTTATAATATTTTCATTTTTAAATTTTAAATTGGAGTTTAAAAAAACTCCTTGTAGCTGTTTAACTTGATTATTGTAGATTTTAACTTTGTTTTCAGGGACTGTTCATTGTTTAAATTTAATAGCAATTTGTTTCTAGAAATTATTTTGTTAAATAAATAGGGACCACGATGTTTTATTGAAAATTTTGAGAGTTTATTTTTTTCAAAGGGTAATATCAAAAAGTGTGCTGTAAAGAAAAAGTGTGCTGTAGTTGCACGGATGTTATTATAAATCAATGAAATTTCGGATGTTGTTCAGATGTTGTTGCAAAAACAATGACATAGCAAAAGTGGATGTTGTTACCCTGACCCGTTTGTATGTATTTCTAATTTTTGAATACCTAGCTTTAAAATATAATTATTGAAAAATATCATTGTAGTTGTAAAAATAATTTGCTTTCTGACTATATGTTTAGTTTATTTTCAATTTTTTTATAATATTACTTTTATATTTTTAACTCTATCTGACAAAATTTTAATATATTAAGGGGCTCTTTGAAAAGATTGAGGTGGTTTTGCATCACCCATATCTTCTTTGAGTCCCGGTCTGTTTTTAAAATATTTTATTTACTGATAGTAACCATGTAAAACTCATCATTAATTTATTTTAACAGCAAAATATAAACTTAAAAAAAGAAAATTTACATCAAAAGTACCAACAGGGACACCATCCATGCGTAACTTGAATTTGTTAATACTCTGATATTTTACAGCTGTAGATGAAATCAGTCACTCTGAGACCTACCACTGAGTTTGAGAAACCTGACTACTAGCCGGCCTCAGAACCATAAAACTAAGTTTTAGAGCTGTATTAAGAGATAATAGAATGAGTTGCTTGTCATAAAACAGAAGCACAAACAAAATTCATGCATTGAGTCTAGAAGATCTAGCATTTAACATTCTAAACTGGAAACAATGTATTATAAATATATTTGTGTCAGCCTAATAGATGAAGAAGGAATGCGAGGCTAATCAACAGATATAACCTTGGGGCTTAATGATAAGACTAAATTTGTCTACTTCTATCCCCGGTCATGTAAATATTTTTTTTTATGTTACGACTGTAAATGTTTTTTTATTGACTAAAAGTAAAAAAAAAAAAAAAAAAAAAACCTGTTTATGCCTTAAGTCTTTGCCTAGGAGGCCTTCTACAAGGCAGGAGCCGGATGCGTTTAATATCTGCCCAAGATGAGTATTTTCATCAAGACACCATCTCTACCTTTTATTAAACCAAGATTCCCTAGGCAGGGGTTGTTTTAAGTCGGAGTTGGCTTCTCCTAGTCTTTGCCTAAAAAAGTGTATCCTGCACGGCAGCATGATATAAAGCAGGTTGTACTGGGTTACATGTTACCAGCAGGATAATCTGACCTGACTTTAATGCTTTCACTTTAGCTATAATTAAAAACTTTCAATTAAGTCATAGATTTAGTTGATAGTCTGTGAAACGAATGGATTTTACACCTTTTTTTGTTTTTTTGTTATATCGCATATAAAATAATTATTTGCTTCAATATTGTATTGAATATTTTTTGTTGTTAACAGTTTTATACTTTCTTATACCTGAAATTGTTTGTGTATAAACAAATTTAGTTGATTTTATAACTCAGGAAAAATCTGTGCGCATGCGTATGGGTTAGAAAGTAGGAATTCTATACAAAAGATGATAATCGTAAACTAATTTAAAATGCTGTTGAATCAATTTACAGTGAAATAGGTGAAAGATTTTATGAATTAATAAAAGATATCTTTTTATTTTGTAATAGAAAAAAAAAAATCAACATAAAGAGTAAAACTATTACTGCAATATGATGAATATGGTGATAAACTGATTAAACAGGATTTTTTTTGTGTAGAAACAATACTTGCGCCCCTTTGCAAGAATTACAATGAAACGATAAAGTTCGTTAATTTAATTTGCGAAGAACATATTAAAATCAAGAAAAGAAAAAATATTCATTCACTACATCTACTATTTCACTAGATTACACAAAACCTTTTTATTCGAATATTAATCTGGAAACATTTCATGTAAAAAGTTTTGGTGTAGAAACACGACATTTTTGTAGAGAATCTATACCAGTGACAATAAAGAGGATATATCACTCAGTCCTATGTAACTTTGCATGTGTTAAATAATTGCTTTTTTTTAAATTTTAATCGAAGCAATATTAAATTTTATATAAAGAATGTTTAATCAATTAAATTTGTCTATAAAGTAGATAATTTGTCGTTATTTGTTTCTTTTCTCAACTAAACATTTTCTAGTCAAAATAGTAACAAATACACAGTAGAAAAAGTGACAAATATTTTTTCTCTTTTTTCAAAAACAGTGGATATTTGTGTTAGTGAAACGAGTAAATTACTTTCAAAGTTTTTTAAGATTAGTGCTAGCCACATACTTAAATAAAAATTAAACTGATTCACAGCAAATTTAAACTTTATAACGAAAAATATAGAAACACGACACAAACATCACTTTTTGTGCGCTATCTTCAAAAATTCTTCTATTTTCAATTTATTTTGATGCTAAGAATGTAATCGAAAAAATTTCTGAGCTATTGATGCAAAAACAATAACGTTATCGTCAACCGTTGTGAAATAGAAATCTTCCGTAAAAATCTAAAGTTTCTATACAGAAATTCGTCTAATGATGATGATGATGATGATGATGATGATGATGATGATGATGATGATGATAATGATGATGACAATGATGAGGATTTAAACTACAAAAACTTTCAGTAGTGAATAACACTTACCAAACCAATGGTAATATAACTATCATGATTTGAGTGCGGACCTCTAACTACTTTTTCAAAAGTCTTAAAATAAGAGATCAGTTGACTTGTTCTAAATAAGTCTTCAGAATCTTCTAAAATACTACTTCTGTAGCAAAGAGTGTTGGAATCTTTTTTGTCAATATCATCAATTTTTGAATTGTTATTTTCAAAAATTATTTCAGAAGATGAAGGTTTTTCATTATAGTCTTCAGGTAAATCATCTGTATTGCTCTAAAAATTTAAAATTTTCCATAAGTTACAATATTTTTCATAAATAAAGTTAAAACAGTACTTTTTATAACTAAGGTTACAACACTATTTTTTATAAATAAAGTTTCAATAATACTTGTCATAACAAAAATTACAACAATACTTTTATAACTAAAAATTTACTATGGAATAAAACTGTAAAAAAAAAACAAAAAAAAACAAAAACATATTACATAAAAATTACCTAAATTTTAAAATGCACAACACAATATATTTACATGTTGCGTGAAATTGATAACTTTTTGACCCAAAAAGGAGCCCATAAATTTTTTTTTTCCATGAAAAATTTGAAAAAAAAATTTTTCTTTTTTTCTTTTTGTTCTTTGCGAATTGAATTACAATTTTTTTTTGTTTTTAACATTTTTGGTGTTTTTTGAAAAACTATAAAAAAAAAGTAATTTTTGGGCAGCAACTCACCATCTGTCTTAAATAAACCAAAATAGGCTTGAAAATTTGTTAAAGGGATCCCAAACTCCCAACACATGTTGTGTTCATATTAAAGATAATGTTAAAAAAAAAGGTTTGAACCAATTTTTTTTGATTAAAAATAAATAATGATTGCATACCGAGAAAAACAAATGTTGTTGTTTTTGCCGAAGCTCGTCTTCTCCATTTTTTTCAACTAATCGCAGTCTTCAAATTATGCGTCGCAATCTACAGACTTTGGCAATTCCTTTGAAGCGCGTTTAATTCATAAAAGTTTTAGTATTTGACGTCACGGTAGACTTTTAACAAAAGAAACTCTGGAAATATTTTTATTTTTAGTCGAAGTTTTTTTGGTTATTTGTTTAGTTTGTTTTTTTTTCTACTTTTAATATTTAAAAAGATATTAAAAACCTTAAACATTTTATGCTGGTTCGTTGCTATAAATTGTTATTGCGCCTTATATTTAATGTTTATAAATTATGAATATTTGTTATCTCAAAAATTGTTTTACATTAATTACCCGTATAAAATTAGTAACAGCTTTTTTATTTGGTTAGACGATATTTCGTTTCAATTTGCTTTGCATGAAGTTCGGAAAGTCAAACGAAAAAAATTAGTTTGAATAATCACGTCGAAATATATTTAAAACAAATTATTTTAATGACGGGGGTTCTAAAGTTTTTTATAACAAATGTAGGTAAAAAAATAAATAACTAAATAAAAAGTTCAGTATTAAACACCATTTCTTTATTATATTGCAACTGTAAATATTGAATTATTAATTTGAACTAAATTTACTTAATTTATCTAAATAATAATTTAGAACGACTAAGCAATAAAAATAAAATGCCTCTAAAATTATGCGAGATTGTGTTGTTTATTTGATAATAGTTGTTGGTAAGGTTGTTTATGTTGATTATTTTCATAAATATCAAAATAGTTCCAGATTAATCTGTTCGTTGCTTTGCTCATTGTTCATTTATTTCTAATTTAATTTTATCTCAAACTATAATTATATATTAAAAAATAAAGGTTTTTATTTCATCGGGCGCTCTTTTTATAAAAGAGTAGAACAAAAGAGAAAGAAAAGTTTCGCGCAATTAAACTTTGAATGAATAAGAGTTGTAAAGAATATATATTTTTTTTGCGTCACTCGTTCTTTTTTTTAGATGAGAGAAATAAAAGTTTAATAGTTTAATTTTCTTTGAATAAATGAGAATTGGAAGAGAAAATTGCTTGAAAATTTGTATTTGTTGTGTTTTTAAAAATTTTTAATTTTTCATGTTAAGAGACAAATGCCAATTACGACACAAATTTGGAAATACCAAATATATGTTTTTTAATGCGCGTTATGACATTTTAACAATGTAAATTACCATCTATCTTGAATTATTGCCTTTAATTAATGTGTTAATTATTGCGTTATTTAATAATAATTTGTCCGTATTTTGGTTAAATATTAGTTTATAAAATATTGAACAGTAAACTTATAATCAAGATTTATAATACCGACTTGTGTTGCAATTAATTGTACTTTTAATGTAAAATCAGGATCTCAATGAACGAATTTTCATATCTGATACTACTGTCAAGTGTTAAAAAAAAAGTACAAAAATACACTAAACTATTGTTTAGTGTATTCTTGAATTTTTTTTCATAATCTTAACAGGTTCAATTGGTATGGAGTTGCTGACATTTTAAAAATTTCATTATCAAAAATCAAATGTAAAATAAAATGGTATTTCCTTTTTATCCGTATCCAATTCAGCAAATTTAGCAATTTAAATTAAATCAGCGTGATCAAAAAAATTTTATAATAAAAAAAGTTAGCAATTCATTAAATATCTCTAATTAATACTGTTAGTTTATGAAAGTAATTAATAATAAATACTTTTTTTCAACGGGAAAACAAAAAATTGTCATAGCGTAAAAATAACCAGAGAAGTTAGAAAATAGTTCCCATTGTTTAAATAAAAATAATTAAGAATCAGAATATATAATACTGCGCTCTCTTGCGCTAAAACAAGAGACCGTATATAAAACGTTCTATATAATGTAAAATACTCATATGAAAATCATGAGATTGGTAAGTAAAGCTTCAGTATTTGTTTTAATTTAAATAATTAAAGAAATATAAGTAAGATATATAAATCTGAAAATTATTAAGATATCTGTAAAAAATAGGTTGCTCCTATAAAATAAAAATAATTTATTGTTTTTACTTTTTACAAAATTTTTTTTGCGATGTTAAGAAAAATAATACAAATAAATTTGTTTTGCTGTATGTTAAAAAAATACTACAGTAGAAAAACGCAGCTTAGTTTAATTACACTTTTCTTTTGTTAAAAGTCTATCGTGACGTCAAATACTAAAACTTTTATGAATTAAACACGCTTCAAAGGAATTGCCAAAGTCTGTAGATTGCAACGCATAATTTAAAGACTCTGATTAGTTGAAAAAAATGGAGAAGACGAGCTTCAGCAAAAACAACAACATTTGTTTTTCTCGGAATGCATTCATTATTTATTTTTAATCAAAAAAATTTGGTTCAAACCTTTTTTTTTAACATTATCTTTAATATGAACACAACATGTGTTGGGAGTTTGGGATCCCTTTAATGGTGCCAGCAAAAGAGTTAAAAAGTGTTTTTTATTTAAAAAATTTTAGTTTTTGCTTACATAGCCATAAAACTGAAAAAATGAATTTGAAAAAATAACTATGATTAAAGTTTTTATTTGTTTTCTTTTAGTTTTGTGAAAATTGCTTTACCAAAAAAATCCTTTTTAAAAATAAAAAATTATTTTTTTATAACTTTTATCATCTGCTTTTTAACTAACTAATTTAACTTGATCTTTTCATAAAAGCTAAATGAGACAATGTTTTTATTCAGCAAGAAAATGTCTGGGTTTTTCATGTGTAAATCAATAACTTTTTTGCATAACAAAAATTAATTTTATAGCATCGGCATCAAAATAGTTGACTGTCATTTTGACACCTTCCTTAATTATGCTATACTTTTGACTCTACTGAGGTCAAAAGTCAAGCGAGTTAAGTAAGAATTGCATCACTGTCAAAATAACAGTTTTTTTGGGCGCGATGATGGTTGTTGTTGTTCAAGGAGAAATATTTTTTAATTAATTCAACTCAGTTTTATTTATTAGTTCTGGCTCCTCACTAACAGCTTTTTTCCATTACCTACTTTCAAAGATGTGTAGGTATCAAAATCATCAATAATAACAACTGAACTACAAACAAAAGACATATATCCATTCTTTATAGAGAAATAGATGACATCATGTTTTCCTAACTATACTCTAAAAAACTGACATTACTCTTCCTTTTACATCTGTTTATGATGAGAAAAACTGACATTACTCTTCCTTTTACATCTGTTTATGATGTTTATGAGAGAAGTTCCAGTAAACTAAAGATTATCAACAATGACAAAACAATATCTTTTTAGATTGACATTAATTTTTATCGAATGTGAACTTACTGAGAGCATTGACTTTGAATTATCAATAATTCATTTTGCTTCATTCCAGCAGGCACAGATGTGCATAAGTCATCTATAGAACTCCTTATAGAGGTAATAATTTTGTATGATATTCTTAGGACATCCAATGAATGTTTTGTACCTGCTAGAAATTAAATCTTGCAGAAAAAAAATTGTATAAACTAGCAGAAAATTAAACTTCTTTTTAATTACTTGCTTTCAGTAATATAGTGTAAATATAGTTTTTTTAAACAACCAAACCATTGCAATAATATCAAATGCATCTTTTTTTTTTTAACAATTGTTAAGTAAACTTAGCAAACTTAAACTTTAGATTGTGTCTTATGTGTACTTAATAGTTGTTTAGTGTCTTATGTGTACTTAATAGTTGTTTAGTGTCTTATGTGTACTTAATAGTTGCTTAGTGTCTTATGTGTACTTAATAGTTGTTTAGTGTCTTATGTGTACTTAATAGTTGTTTAGTGTCTTATGTGTACTTAATAGTTGTTTAGTGTCTTATGTGTACTTAATAGTTGTTTAGTGTCTTAGGTGTACTTAATAGTTATGATAAAAAGAACATAAAAGCATAGATCAAATATATTTATCACAAGTGCGATTCTCCAATAAAAATATTTCTAGAGGTTAATGTTCCACCCCAAACCCCTGTCATCCTATACTCATTCCCCTGCCCCTCCCCCATGATGCTAAACCTCAATCCACCATTGCAGCAAAATAATTGACAAATGTTTTTTTATAAGTTTCAACTTCTTCTCTTTCATATCCATTAACAAATAGATGAGCTTTGTTGTTCAACCAAAAGTTTCGAAAATGAAAATTACTTTTTCATGTATTTCTTCCAAAAATAAAAAAATAATTTTTTGGAAGAAATACATGAAAATCGCGCCTAAAGGCAATTCTCATAGAACTAAACGATTTTTTAAAAAAAATATAATCATAATTATTTTTATAAACTAATTCATTTTTACAGTAAAAAAGGAGCCCAGAAAAAATATTTTTTATGGGCTCCTTTTTGGGTACTTAATAAATCAAACCATATGTCTAAAAATATATTTTTACCAACAGATTCAGAAGAACCACATTGTAATTAATTAGAAAAACAACAAATTATCAATTATGCCCAACATGTAAATTTATGTTGTGCACTCTACGTAATAAAAATTAAAAGTTATTTTTATATGTTATTTTTAATATAATTTTTATTTATAAGAAAAAAGTTTTTATCTAAAAATAATAATAATGTTAAAACGATTCAAACAGAAAAAGTTCCTTAGTTTAAATTCTTTACCTTTGTAACTTTTAGCTCAATTTCTTCAAGAGCCGACCAAAATATGACTTTTGTATTAATCATTTTGAAGTAATTTAACCAATAACTCCTACAGTATTTGCAATAAATTTTGTCAAAGACAAAAATTGGAAAATCAGCTGAGTTAAAAATAATGACAAGAAAACTAGGTATGAATTCAAGATGTTGTTGATTAATTTATTGATTTTGATATCAAAATAAAAATATTAACATCAAAATACTTTAAAAAACTTAATACTAAGTTGGTATTAAAAACTGAAGTATAAATTACTAAAAAATTACCTCTGTTTTTTAGTTAAATAATCAGCTTTATTGACAAGGATAATAAACTTTTTTGATGGATTTACTTCTTTTACATAGGTTTCCTAACATAAGGGATAACATAACATGAGGCATTAGATTTTCAATAAAATAAAAAAATAACATCATAACATAAACCATAACTACAGTAATCCAATATATAATTTTTAGGCAAAACAACCGTATTTAAAATTGTATCCAATATTTCTCAAAAAAAAGAAGATCTAAATGAATTTAAAATCTCAAATTTCGATGTAAAACCTAAAATTTCAAAAAATTTTGTTCAGAGTGTTTAGAGGATGGAAAAAATTGCACTTAATAATTTCAAACAATTTTCATTGTTTTGTTTATGAATACGCTTTTAAGAATATTAAAAAATTGAAGATTTGTAAAAAATTGAAACTTTTATTATCCTTATAAACTAATGGAGTATTAAGATAATGAACCAATGGAGTAAGAAGAAAATGAATCGATGGAGCAAGAATAAAATGAATCAATGGAGCAAGAAGAAAATGAATTAATGGAGCAAGAAGAAATTGAATCAATGGAGCATGAAGAAAATGAATCAATGGAGCAAGAAGAAAATGAATCAATGGAGCAAGAAGAAAATGAATTAATGGAGCAAGAAGAAATTGAATCAATGGAGTAATAAAATAATGAAGCAATGGAATAAGATGAAAATGAAGTAATGGGGGAAGAAGAAAATGAATCAATAGAGTAATAAAATAATGAAGCAATGGAGTTAGAAGAAAATGAAGTAATGGAGTAAGAAGAAAATGAAGCAATGGAATAAGAAGAAAATCAAGCAATAGTGTATAAAGAAAATAAACAAGTAGATAAGAAGTTGAAAAGAATGAGAAACAATAAGAGTGGTGGTGGGCAAAGAGTAGTGAATATAGAGGTAGTGAAGGGTGATTATTCATTTTGATGAAGGGTAGGAGTGGCAAATGGAATAAAGGAAAGATTTTTTTTTTTTTTTTTTTAATTATCAAAGAAAGAAAAGAAAAAGAAAAAAAAAAAACAAAACCTTTATCCAAATGCCTTAAAAAGAAAAAGAAAAAAAAAAGACAAAACCTTTATCCAAATAAGAAAAAAAATTCAATTTTCATAATAAACTTTTAAATATGACATTAAACAAAATAATATGATGAGAGAAACAAAACATTTAACATTTAAATAAAAATAAAAGCATAATTAAAATAATTTTATATACCAAATCGTCAGTTTTATACAAAAGAGGATTTCTGGCATCCACTATTTGACATATAACATCACTGGAAAAAAAGTAAATATCAAATTAAAAATGATATTTCACAGTTTACAAAACTAAAAATTAGAACAAAAAAGTTTAGTTATAACTAAAGTTTTTAGTTTTATAATTTGAAATTTAAAACATTTACAAATGTAAAAAAAAGACTTCTATCAAATAAAACTTTAATATTTTAGGCGTCTGTCCTAAAATATTTAAAACTTTTATAAAAAAAATATCTGGCAGACATTTTTTTATAAAAGTTGAAAAATGTTAGTGCACGCTTTCAACACATATAGGAATAATGGTTAACTATGTACTTTAGGTCATGGTGGTAACAGATACCAAAGGTGTTTAAAATACCTAATAAAATTTATCAAGTTATAAAGCAAAATTTTCTTATAACTTTTGATATAGCATAAATAAAGTGATTTTATATATAACATTATTTATAATTTTTGAAAAATATAATTTTTAAATTGATAATAAAAAAAAAAAAAAAAAGCTTGAAAAAAAAAAAAAATAAATAAAACAAACTATTAAACAATGGTTTCGGAATCTATGAACTTTATTCTTAAATTTCAGGTTAATATTTGACATTGTATATTACAGTTTTAATTACATTTTTTAATTACACAGTTTGATTTTTATCTTTTTGTCTGGCAATGGATAACCTGGTTTCTCATACTATTTACAAAAAAAAATTTAAGAAAATTACACTTAATAACTTTAAAAAAAAAAAATTTAGCCAGTATTTTAAACATCTTTGGTACCTGTTACCTGCCTACTTGTGTTGGAAGCATGAGCTGAAAAAAATTTTTTTATTAAACTTTTTTTAAAATAACCAAGGTCAGGTGGCTCCTAGACTAAGTCTGAGGTAACAATTAAATTACAGCTTAAAGAATAAAAATTAGTTAATAATAATAATAATAAACATTCAAATAAATAAAAAAATGTTTACAGCAGCTTTTTATTACCTTCTCTCAATCACTCGCCATAATTGTCTCCATATGTCAAGATTTTTTTCATATGGTGTCAATAAGAGACCCTTTTCTTCTTGCAAACTATAAACACATAAAAAAAACCACATTAACAAATCAAAAAATAAACAAGATACATAAGCAGATAAACCACATTAACATAAATAAACCATGTATAAATTAAGTTCATAATGTTAAACTTATATTAAAATAAGAAAAATTACAGTGATAGACTTCTTCTCCAATTCAGGAATGTCTCCCTCTCCATTAGAGCCAATTGTTCTGGAGATGTTGTTTCATCCCAGTGAGGTCTAAAAACTTAAAGAATTTCTTTATATAGCTTTTTCTTTATAAGTTTTTTGAGAGTTTGAAAAAAAGGAAAAAATATTTCAAATGTTTCATAAACTTTATAAAATAATCATTTGAAAAAGTTTAAATTTTTAATTAAATTTTTTTTTAAATTTTTGTATTATTATTCTAAGTATTATTTAAAAATAATTCAGCATTTTTAATTCAATTTTATTTTCAAGCTACTTAAATGACCATTATCAACGAACCTTCTAGGTATTGTAACAAACTTGCAGTTTTCTTCTTGCAATTTTTTGATTCTACATTTCTCTGAATCTCCTAGCACACCAGTTGCAGAACCAGTGCCAACAATTTTTACATTTAATTTCTCTAAACAACAGTGTTAAATATATAACTACATTTCATAAAGTTCAATATATTCACAAGTACATTATATAAATATACATATATATATACATATATATATATATATATATATATATATATATATATATATATATATATATATATATATATATATATATATATATATATATATATATGTGTGTGTGTTTATATATATATATATATATATATATATATATATATATATATATATATATATATATATATATGGGCATTTCCATTTCTGTGCGTGATTTTTTATTTTTCTTTGTTTTAGCAATTAAAAGCTGGGACTTTATGCAATATGCATACTATTTTGATTTTCTTAAAGAACAATTATAACTAAAGTATTTTTATCATATTTTAGGCTATCTGAATAAATTAAATATACACATTTTTACAATTTTAATTTTTTGAGTAATAATATCGCTACATTTTGAAAAATATACAATAACTTTCAAAACGCCATACTCTAGCTAGAAATAATTGATGACTGTCGTTTCTCATCGAAAATATATTAAATATGAGTCGCAGAAGTATAATATTTCACTTAAAATACTCACTAGCAATTTATTTTCATAAAAATAACTACATGAAATTGACAAATTTGCAACATCCGTGCGTGACTTCCGTGCGTGATCATTCATAAACTGCATTTAAATGATTGCTGTGACTCTATGATTCATAGTGCAATCCTGTAACTTTCTGGAAATCTTTACTAATGTTTAAAATATTATTTAAAAAAAAAAGTATACCGGTGACACTTATATTGTCCGAGGAATTAAAGTTTATTTATCTAGTAACTAAAATAGTAGTTTTTCTGTTCCGTGCGTGATTCCATTTCAAACTTTATTTATTCTTTGTTAACATTACTAATTCTTACTATTTTTTGTTTACAAAATATTTATATTGATTAGAATTAAATGAGAGTAAATTGGAGATCGCTAGTTTTATTTTTATGAAAATAAAAGTAAAAACATATACAAGTTTCCGTGCGTAATTTTTTGGAAATGCCCATATATATATATATATATATATATATATATATATATATATATATATATATATATATATATATATATATATATATATATATATATATATATATATATATATATATATATATATATATATATATATATATATATATATATATATATATATATATATGTATAGATATATATATATATACATATATATATACATATATATATATATATATATATATATATACATATATACATATACATATATATATATATATATATATATATATATATATATATATATATATATATATATATATATATATATATATATATATATATATATATATATATATATATATATATATATATATATATGGGCAACTCCATTTTTAACATACATTACATGCGCAACAACTTTATCAAATATTTGCCTATTTAAACTGCAAATTAAACTTTTAGCTATTTTGTATGAAAGCTGTCAGTCTAAAGAAAAAAAAAAGCTAAAAAGTTTTGAGTTTGGCCTAAAGAGAGCGAACTTATTATTGAAAATGCCACTTAACTTACATTACACAGAAAACTAGGTAAAAAGATTACTTCAACTTTTGGGTCAGATTTCTGTGAATCAGTAAAGCGGTTTGTATTAGAAACTTTCACAAAATGTTAAGATTCTATACCAATTTAAAAAATATATAAAATTTTATCAGAGGTGACCAGGTAAGGAAAATAAACTGGTTTTTTTGATACTATATATCTAACTTATGTTACATCACTTACATTACCTTGCAATCATCATCATGGATTTTTTTCTTCAACAAATATTTATATAATTCTTAAATATTTATATAATTCTTATTTTTATTTATTTATGTCAAATAAAACAATAATACATAAACAAATAAAAAAGCAATAATTTAAATAAAATTAATTAACATTAAAAAAAAGATTTTTTTCTAAATTCTCCTGATGTAAAAAGTTCCAGTTAGAACCTTGTCAACAAAATAATAATTACTTAATGACATAATTCATTTTGTTGACAAAAAAGCGCCAGAACTTGAGTAAATGTTTGTAGTTTTGACTTTAAAACTTAACTTTAAATGCAAAGGCGTGGCATTTAATATTCTTTTGCATACATTATTAAAAAACTTAAGTTTCTTGACTAAATTTATAAAAAAAAAAACTTTATCATGTTTTTGTTAATTTACGTTACATGAAAATTGCAAAAGTTTATTCATTATTTTCTTAAAACAGTTATATTTTATAAAGTATAAAATCTGACCAACAACAATTGGAACATGTTAGCTCCATTTTCACGCTAATTGAATACAATTGTGCAAATAAACTCATGGTTAGAATAACATTTTAAAATGATACTTTTTTTATCACACAACAATGAGAAATACAGTAACTTTCAAGGCATAAAAATGACTTAAATTAATTTTAGTATCAAAGATATATTTTGAATAAACTTTCATGTGTCTACATCAATATTTATTTGCTAAAATTTGATGAAAAAGAGAATAAAATTTGACTACCTTTTCATTTTCCGCCATGGAATTGCCCATATATATATATATATATATATATATAATATATATATATATATATATATATATATATATATATATATATATATATATATATATATATATATATATATATATATATATATATATATGCGGTAGTGGTGTAGTGGTAGAGCGTTCGTTTCATAAACGAGTGGTTCCGGGTTCGATCCCTACCGCATCCCTGGTAGTATCGCGCTCAACTCGTTTCTCCGCGCAGCGGCCTTGTTTGTCAAGGTTCGTGTTTCGGAGTTATAGAGTTGAGAGAGGGTTATAGCCACAAAATAAGTAGCCTCCTCGTCTGTAGTGGCCTTCTCGCCCTTAAGGAGGTGAATTAAAATAAAATTAAAAAAAATTAATATATATATATATATATATATATATATATATATATATATATATATATATATATATATATATATATATATATATATATATATATATATATTAGTGGTGGAACTTAAAGTTTCATGCCCTTTGGCAATCATCAGCTATATTATATATATATATATATATATATATATATATATATATATATATATATATATATATATATATATATATATATATATATATATATATATATATATAATATAGCTGATGATTGCCAAAGGGCATGAAACTTTAAGTTCCACCACTAATATATATAAATATAAATATATATATATATATATATATATATATATATATATATATATATATATATATATATATATATATATATATATATATATATATATATATATATATAGGCTTGGCCAGGAAGGCGTGTGATTTCACGTCATAATATGACCACGCAAATACTATTTGATTTTACTTAACTTGACCACGACTGTTAATAAGTTATGAAAATTCGTATGTTTTAAAAAAGCGCTAAAAAAATCTTAACTATAACTATTATCTTAATTATCTTAACTATAAAAAAACTTATCGTAAAAGAAGCAAATAAATCTTGGTAAAAAAACGAAAAAAAAAAAACTTAACTAAAACAGCAGAAATAAAATTAAAACTTAACTAGATTAAATAATAAATTATAACAATAAGATTATCTAAATTACATTTGGAATAAATAACTTTAAACCGGTTATCTTTACTAATGCTTTTTTAATATAATTATGCGAATTATGCAAAACGTTTTTTAAATAAAGTAACAACTAACAACTGATGATTGTTTAATAAACGCGCACATTTAAAAGTTTAAAAAAAGATTCTTAATTCTTCGCACTAAAGAAAAAATAATTAAATCGTTTATTTAAAATTTTGATTTAATTTTTTTTTATTTAAAAACATATACAGGCTTGGTCGGTAAGCGGGTGCGATCGCACTCGATAATTGACCACGGAAATATTATTTAGTTGTGAAAAACCAGCCAGATTTTTTAGTCTTTTTGAAAACATTTCAAAAACAAACAAAAAAGCGCAATAAGATTAACTGGACCAACAAGAGACAGTTAAAAAAAGAAAAATAGCTTTTAACGCGAAAAAACACGAAGAGCAATTATTTTTGAAACGTTGCTCTTTTATAACTTTTTTTATAAAATAAAGCGACATTTTTTGTATAAAGTAACAACTATAAAGAAACAAATGTTCTTCGATTTATCAAAGAGTATATATAATTTTTATTAATATATTGCTCGCAATATTAGGGGAAATGATGGTCAAGAAGACCATTCGGTATTTTTTTAAGTCATTTTTACGCTGTGGCACATAAAAAAGGCCACCAAAATAATGCAGCCCCCGGCCCTGAAAAGTCCAACAAGATTCAACCAGATGATTTATTTATAAATAAAAAAGTTTTTTCAATAACTGTTTTATGCTTCGCGTAGTTTAAAAAGTTTAACAGATTTGAAACGATTCTTCTTAATAAGATGAACAAATGAAATAATTAAATCATTGAGTTACTGTAGAAATTCAATTAGCTAGATAGAAATTAACAAAAAATGTTAAATTACTTTGTGAGGAGGAAGCGGAACTGCTTCACAATACCGCTGATGATGTTTAGTAAGTGGACTTTATAATTTTAATTAGTATTTAAAACAGAAAAAACTTTAAGTATAATGAGTTTGTAAGAGTGGCTGAAGCAAAAATAGTTGAAGTTAGTAAACCAATTTCTAAGAACTTGAAAACTTTTCTTTCTTGGGAGAAAGAATCAGTTATCGGGTACACTGAGGAAAATGGATTAGTGGTTAAAATTATTTGTATTAACTTTGACGATTATTAATAATTTCATAGAAAACGCAGTTATTATTAAAAGTATTTTTGTTTACAAAATCAATCGCACAAATTGCTTTAAAAGATTACATTTGAATAAAATACACATGATAAAATTACATAGATAAAAATACATTACATACATAAAAATACATCCCTTATATATAAAAAATAATAATATACTAATAAAATCTAAAATATATTCACAAAACGTTGACAAGTTA